TATTCAGTCTGAACATGCGGTTCGAACGGGTGTAGGCCACTTGTACTCCTTACGCACACTACACACACATATACGCACAACCAAAGAAAGATAGTGAAATAAACACTATAAAACCATAACCATTGACATTGACAAAGATTTCAGTTAAAAAGTGGGGTTTCACTCAAATTATATTAACACTTAATACAAACGTAAAATAGTTACACAGAACATCGGCTGAGTATGTCATCTCCAACATTTTCTTGCACTTTTATATATTCTATAATGAATGAATATAATTGAAGGGCGAGAGACCAGCATAAGCCTACCGTTGCTGTTTTTCGTGTATTTGATATATTTCAAAGGCTGTTGATCAGTTTGCAAAACGAATTCGCGTCCGTACAAGTAGCACCAAAATTTTTCGATCGCCCAAAAGATCGCCAAAGCTTCTCGTTCAATGACGGCAACGAACGACCGATCTTTAAATTTTCTACTAGCGTAGGCGACGGGCATGAGGATGCCGTCGACCAATCTGCAACAAAACGGTCCCGAGGCCACTGTCACTCGCGTCGGTGTGGAGATAGAAAGTCTTATTGTTGTCGGGTAAAGTCAGAATAGGATCACTCATCAAGAGATCTTTTAACTCATTGATTCTGTCAACGAGGCTAGGGGTCAGATTCAGCTTATTAGGACTGAATTTCTTTAATAGAGCGTTCAGAGGATACGCAAGATCTGCCATGTCTGGAATAAACTTGGGGTAGAACGAAAGAGTTCCGAGAAAGCTGCGTAACTGCTTCTTCGTCTCCGGTAATGGCATGTTCTTTATGACACTGACTTTATCGGGAAGTGTACTTAATCCCTTATCACCCAGGTTATATCCAAGATATTTTATGCTAGGATAAGCAAAATAACATTTACTTGGTCCGGCGGTTAACCCGTGCTTGCGTAAACGCTCGAAAACCTTCCTCAAATGCTCAAGATGGTCAGAAAATGTCTGGCCATGTACAACTAAGTTATCAAAATAACAGTCAACAGTATAAGCCATACTTAGGTGTTGCAAATGCGGTGCACTGCTTCGCTTTATCGCTCACGGGGATTTGCCAAAATCCCTTACAGAGATCAATTTCTGTCATTGAGAGATTGGAAATCAACACAAAAGCGCCAGGAATTTTCAGCCTTCTTCACTAGTACTACAGGTGAACAATAAGCAGAGATTGACGGTTCAATTACCTGTAATTCTCTCATCCTTTCCACTTCCTCGTCAAATGCATTACGTAAATGATATGAAATAGGATAAGGCTTCGTATGAGCTGGTACACCTAAAGTTAAATGAATGTCATGAACTAATGTGCTGGTTACGCCTGGTTTATCAGCAAATACATCTGTAAAGTTACTTATTAGATCCTTTAACTCTAAGGTTTGTTCATTGGACAGTTCAGAGTTAACATTAACATCGCATTTACCCGGCTCATGCAATTCAGGTATATCACAAACCCCATCATTAGCCTTATGTACGGGATCAGAAATGTCATCTACCATGCAAGCTTGGCATACCTGAGAAGCATCATTTTCACGTCTTTCATATTTCTTCAGCATGTTCACATGATAGAGCATTATTTTCCCTTTTATTTTGATCTCATAGTCAACTCCATTTTCATGCTTACGTACAACAGAATAGGGGCCCTTCCGTTGAAAAGTTGATTTATTATGTGAAGTTGGTAATAGCACAAGTACTTCATCCCCTTCTTTTAATGTACGTGATTTACCTTTCATGTCGAAGTAAGTCTTGTACATTCGGCTATTCACGTCTGCATGAGCGGAAGCTATCTGAGCCGATGCTTCTAATCTAGATCGAAGATCTAATACATATTGATAGGTACTTTTAACTTCCCCATCAATATCATCTTTAGTCCACAGATTATGTAGAATTGATAATGGACCGCGTACCTTACGGCCGTACAGCAAATCAAACGGACTAAATTTAAGCATATCGTCGGGGATCTCGCGATAGGCAAACAAGACGGACGGGATGTAACGATCCCAGTCATAAGGTCGTTCGCTGCAGACCTTTTTCAGCATGGCTTTCAAAACTGTGTGAAACCGCTCGACGGGGCCATTGCAACAAGCGTGATACGGACTTGTATACAGTGCTTGAATAGAAAGAAGTCTATGAATTTCCACCATCAAATCAGACTTAAACTGAGTACCACAGTCAGAAAGTATCTCTTTCGGTATTCCCACATGAGCAAAAGTAGTCAGCAATGCTTCGGCAACAGTTACAGAGTCTATATTCCGCAGAGGAACTGCCTCGGGAAATCTAGTGGCCATGTCAATCAAGGTCAACATATACTTATGGCCTCAGTTGGAGGGCGGAGAGATGGGCCCGACGATATCAATCGCCACGCGGGAAAACGGTTCGCTTATGATTGGCATCTGAACCATGGGTACCTTTCTGACCTTGCCCTTAGGAACTGTTTTCTGGCAAACATGAAATATCTTTCCGCAGTCTTTCGATGAGAGAAATGACCTGCCAGAGGGGAATCATGAGCCATAGACAAAATTATTGGAATAAATCTAGGGGGAACAACTGTTTCCCGCCGACTTCGTGATGGTGTTTCCTCTGTATGCAAATACAGTATATCAAACCATTCACTTGTTCGAATCTTACTGAACGACTTTTAACCGTGACAATGGCTTGATTTCTTTCTTTAGAACAGATGTTTCGAGAGAGGGCAGGAAGACTGAGCAGCAATGAAATCTGGTTTCGAGACGTTCTCAAATTTGAAATCAGGAAGTATCAATTTATCAGGACTGGCACGTTCCTTCGCTTTGGCGGCCCGCGTCGCAATCACACTAACTTCGCTCCTCTGAGGAGGAGATTCGGCTGTTTTAGCACTGTATATTCACGCCCGACACCTGGACACCCGGCACCATACCAACATCCGAGAACTTAATCGGCGCAACCACGACGGTAAACCACCCACTCAGGAATTTACTCCTGATATGACAACGTGCGGTGGGGAATTCGCGCCGCTCCCCCAGGTACAGCGCAACCACCTTTCCTCGCTTGAGGGAGACGGGCACGAGCGATTCCTTCACAATGATTGATGAGCAACCTGAATCAAAAAATACCTTTACTGTCTTGTCATACAAGGTTTCTTCATACATAATGACATGATCGTAATTTACGCTAGTTTCAAATGCAGCATTTACCTTCTGAGAAGTCTTTGATTTAGCGAATTTAAGTTCGGGGCAAGAAGGACGTATGTGACCTGCAATGGTGACAAATCACATCCTTAGGGGTAACACTCGTGTCTTTCTTAAAAGCAGCGTCGTCCTTAAAAGGTGTTTTACGACTCCTGACAGCTCTATGGGCACAACGAAACCTATCCGCTGCTTGCGCCATTTCCACTGTATTATTGAAAGTTCATTCTTTGAAAAAGATGCGAAGGTCAAGAGGGCAATTACTAAGCAGCTGTTCGCGTATCAAAAAGTCAAACGAGTCATAATCCTTTTTAACATCACCCATGATTAACCAGTGATCTAAATACTGGGTCATTTTCGTAATCAGCTGGATGTTGGTCTCGTTTTCGCCAACTTTGCTCTCTCTGAACTTTTGCGTTATGAGTCAGCGTCAACGTTATACGCCTTCAATAATGCATCTTTCAACTGACTGTAATCCTCACAAATGTCGTCTGGTAAACTTAATGTAAGTTTGCAAGGCCTTGCCTCCCAAAAGTGAACTGAGATAAAAATGTGGTAATCATTAGAATCCCATCCTTGCAAACCTGCTAATTTCTCAAATCTGTGCAAGAAGTCATTAATATCGTCCTTACCATCGATGAAGTTTGGCATCTTTAATTTAGGGTAATGATCACGACTATCATTTAGAGAAGGGTTCTCGGGTCGCATACCTGCAAGCGCCAACTCGTGAGCGCGCTGCTTCTCGGCCTCGTTCGCTTCATATTCGCGCCGTTTCTCTTTTTCCTGAACTTCTATTTCTTCGCATTTCAGATCTTGCTCTTTCTCCTCTTTCAATTTGCTCTTTTTATCTGACTTCCTCTTTCAAGACCAAAGTATTTATGTCCGCAGCAGAAAGACCTGCTTCCTTAGCACGACTAACTAACTCTACCAAGTTAAGTGATATGTTTTACAGTTTATATAAGAAAAATCAAATGAATACGAATTCGTTAACCGACAGATGAACGAGTTATCATGCTATCCAAATTATGATTAAACGAATATGAATTTGCTAAATAAGAGATGAACGTGTTATCCGGCTATCAAAAATTAAGTTAATAGCTGATTCAAAGCAGTATAGAAAATCGATTTTAATTATAGAAAAACCTAAGCACAGACTATCGCACAACAACGGCTATTCTAACGCGAAAACATCGTTAACAGCTATGGTAGGCTAATACGCAGGTGTGCAATATATATATATATATATATATATATATATATATATATATATATATATATATATATATATATATATATGGGTGTGTGTGTGTGTGTGTGTGTGTGTGAGTATGTGTGCTCTTATATATATATATAAATATTTATATACATATATATAATGAATATAATAAATATTACGTTATATATGTATGCACACACACACACACACACCTATATATATATATATATATGTAAAGGGAGGAAATACGAAAGAAAGGAAATAGAAAAAAAAGATGTTAAAAGGTTCAGTAGAGTATGAATGAGTTGTGAATGTTGACTGGGCAAACTACCCAATGACCAAAATTAGCATGAATGTGCGCACGAAAGGATGAATGTCTATGTTTGTTTGTAATCTTTGTATATATATATTAAGATTTATCATTGGTGACATTTCACCATAACGTAAAACACACAGAAAATAAGTGCCTACAACACGAATGGTTACTTCGAGTGGAACAATTACCGAGCGTTAAACAATACTGAATGAGGGAGTGGTGACCCGAGGGCAGCGTAGGCATGTCGCCTTGAAGGTAGTAAGACAAGGAAAAGGTCTTGCTACCCTGACTGCCAAACCAAGAGGACGAACTGACCTGCTCTCGGGTATAATTGTAAAGGACGATACCACATTCCCTACTTTCATATTCCTCGGGACCTTGGGCGCCGACCATCACCGCCAAGGAGCACCGGCAGAGAGGCCCGGGGTGTGTGGGCGTGTATGGAACACGTGTAGCGAAGACAGAGTATGGGCAGGCCCACAGGGCAGGCGTGGGCACGTGGAACCTGTAACGCACGACCCACGACGCTTTCTCGGCCCTACGCACGTTGTCGGTGCCGTGAATACCCTCACCTGTCCTGCATCACCCGTGGGAACGAATACATCGGATGAACTACGTGGCTAAAATGCACAAGCAACATAGTGACTACGTCCAAGACCAGTGTTACCATGTGTGACCGACAGTGTTACCTATCGTAGCTGTGACCGACAGTGTTACCTATCGTAGCTGTGACCGACAGTGTTACCTATCGTAGCTGTGACCGACAATGTACCACTCGTGGCAGTGACCGATAGTGTACCACTCGTGGCAGTGACCGATAGTGTACCACTCGTGGCAGTGACCGATAGTGTACCACTCGTGGCAGTGACCGATAGTGTACCACTCGTGGCAGTGACCGATAGTGTAAGTGACCGATAGTGCGTGCCAGTGACTAGTGTACCACCGATAGTGTACCACTCGTGCCAGTGACCGATAGTGTACACTCGTGTTAGTGTACCACTCGTGCCAGTGACCGACCACTCGTGGCAGTGACCGTGTACCACTCGTGCCAGTGACCGATAGTGTACCACTCGTGCAGTGACCGATAGTGTACCACTCGTGTCAGTGACTGACAGTGTACCACTCGTGGCAGTGACCGATAGTGTACCACTCGTGGCAGTGACCGATACTGTACCACTCGTGCCAGTGACCGAGAGTGGTACGTGCCAGTGACCGATGGTGTACCACTCGTGGCAGTGACCGATAGTGTACCACTCGTGGCAGTGACCAATAGTGTACCACTCGTGGCAGTGACCGATAGTGTACCACTTGTGCCAGTGACCGATAGTGTACCACTCGTGGCAGTGACCAATAGTGTACCACTCGTGGCAGTGACCTATAGTGTACCACTCGTGGCAGTGACCGATAGTGTACCACTCGTGCCAGTGACCGATAGTGTACCACTTGTGCCAGTGACCGATAGTGTACCACTCGTGACCGATAGTGTACCACTCGTGGCAGTGACCGATAGTGTACCAGTAACTGTGTGTTTAAGTGTTGTGTGTCGTTTTCTCCCCCCCGTGTTGTGTGTCACTCTGTGCCCCCTGTGTTGTGTGTCACTCTGTGCCCCCTGTGTTGTGTGTCACTTTTTTCGTGTTGTCCATAGTACGTGTAGTCTGTATATTTTTTTGAGTGAATAAATGCTAATTGAAATAATTGTTTCCCATATCCTTACAAAAATCAGCCAACAGAGAACAAAAGACCACGGTATGATTGTTCATATAATGAACCAAGGTCTTGTCTCTCCGTCCATCAGTGAGAGAGTTTACGTATGAACTATATCCCCCTTCATATATATATATATATATATATATATATATATATATATATATGTGTGTGTGTGTGTGTGTGTGTGTGTGTGTTGTGTGTGTGTGTGTGTGTGTGTGTGTGTGTATCATAAAGCAAGGCCTGGCCCCACGACAAAAGATGGTAGAAGCGGCGTTCAGTCATACAACAAACATCAACACCGGTACGGGGAGCCACGAACTAGCGAAGGTCGTCGCTCACCTGATTACCGACGTGACCTGACCACCTAACATTTGTATAAATACTCCTCTATGTACCTCATGTCATAGCCTCCAGGCTAGTACAGTGGTAACGTGTCGGCGGTTCGCGCCCCGCCCAGGCGCGAGAAGTTGCAATTGTCGCTCGGAAGTTACTGCTGTGGCCGGGCACCACGGTGGGTAAGGACTAAGCTCTGTCGCGTCAGCACTAGCTGACACACGTTGATCAAAGCGACATTATTCGGCAAAGACCGGGCTCCCCTCATAGCCTGGGCAGGGCTCACCTTCGCATACTGGTCTTATCCTTACTTATCCTCTTGTCATGACGAAGCATTAGTGAAAAGGCCTTCGGCATATTCGTGTGTTTTCTTGTTCTTCCCTTTGTTGTTCCTATTGCAATATATATATATATATATATATATATATATATATATATATATATATATATATATATATAATTGCTGTTATCCGCAGATTAGTGCGTATAAAATGGTGGCGTCCGAAGTGTGATATGTCACATAACTGTCGCCACTCCAGAATCGATGAACCTATCTCCCAACTGTGCTGACATCAACTGCCTCCGTAAACGTTCATTAGGCGCCGGTGAATGTCGGTTGCTCCTACTTCTGTGTGGAAGAATTCAGTGTCGTATTTCTGCTTCTGACGCAGGTCCATGGCAAAGTTTGCTCTCTTAGACTGTCATACCATCAATATCTGCAACAGAGAGATAAAAAAAATCAGGATATCAGTGCAAAAGTTCAACCATTATAGGAATGTCATAAGCAATCTCCTCGGATCCCTTTGGGACAAGAATGACAGTGGAGGCATCACTTTTGGAACGACTCTCATGTATATGGTATATATATACTGTATGCACACACATACTCACACACACGTGTGTATATGCATATATAGAGTTTGTGTGTGTTTGTGTTTATGTTTTATGTCATGTGTATATCTTCACATGTATATCTTTACATAAGCATTAGCACTAGTGACTGAATGCTCGAATAAAAAGGTCTGTTTCTCCCTGAGGTGAGCGTCGGGGCGGAGGCTCCGGTGGCGGGAGTCGCAACTGGCTACACCGTCCTCGGGCATTACATCGGGCCTTATGACAACAGCAGCTGGTTAGTATTACTGTCCTTACTCCAATTGTGTCAATGTCTTTATTCCCTCTGCCTTCCACAAACGGGCATCTGACTGCCCTTTCCTACAAGGTATATAAAACTATGTAGGTCCACTTCCATTTAGCCTATTGAGCCTAAAAATGCTGATGGCTGTTAATGGTATGGAACTCTCCATTATCGTAAATAAAATAGGAGAATTTTGATTTTACTGCTGATAATTACAACTACAACGAGTACTTTAAAGAAATTATTATGCATATACCTGTATATAGCATTTCATGGTGCACTCTCATTGGCTAAACGTGACGTCATTAGCTCCACCCCCTTTCTTTACCCCAAAATTTTTCATATTTTATGGTAAGTGATTTTTAGTAATTTCTTTGAAAATAGCTCAATAATAACATTGGGCAAAAATACATATAAATATCAGACAGAAACAATGAAAAAAAAAGTATTTAATAATTGCAAATAAAATTGATGGGGCGGGGCCTAGCTCAGAAGATGCCAACTAGCTTTTTCATGAAAATAGAGCGATTACACCTACCTATAGGTTCATTCCCTTCCTACCTGTTACAGCTGCAGCGTTGAGTTCACCCTTGGCTATTCCGTGTGGGGCCGCTACGTCCACATCAGGCGAACAGCACAGGACCCTAACACCAGCAACAACTTCCTTGTCCTACAGGAAGTGAAGATTATCCTTTAAGATACCGAGACGAACAAGTTGCGAAATACTGCCTTTGTAAGGTTTCGTAGATAGATATGATAATGCACAAATCGTGCCTCGTACTGTTATTGTTGTTTCTACTATTGCTATTATTGTTGTAGTTTGTTATTATTGTTGTTTGTGTTATTGTTATTACTATTATTATTGTCAGTAGTAGTGGTAGTACCATTATTATTTTTGTCCATATTATTATTATTATCATTGTTATTCTTATTGCACTTATCATTATTATTAATATTACAACCATCATTACTATAATCTATATTATTACCATGGTAAATCAGAACTTTGTAGCAAATCCGAAATTAAGATTAAATAGAATTGTGATTTATAAGGCTCATATCTGAACTTAGAAATTTTACATTGCAAGAAGCTTGCACAATAATAATAATAATGTTACTGTTCACTAATGCATACTCTCCATCACGAATCATTAAATATTGAGTTCAGCTGAAATAATTTTGTATTAATATTATTGCTAATTATCGCATTATTGCTAATAGAAACGTTTACCATCTTGTTTGTGATTCATTCTTTATGAGTTCACTCCCAGTTTCATTCTCACTACTCACTTTCCTTCAAACACATACACTCATCCTCCCTCCTACGCAGAAAAAAAGACACTGCAGCTTTTCATTAATAGGGTTTGTAGTTGTAGTTGTAGGCGTAATGTTCGATGGCGTAATTACTGTACATTCCCGGTTATGACGTATACATTTGCCCACTATTTTGCCAGTCGAGATGAGTGAACAGTACTTGATGCACACTTTTTATTTTACATACTTTTCTTTCTCTATATAACGACTAGCGGTTCAAGTAAATCCTTGAGGACTGCCGCTGTCGTTTCCTTATCTACTCTCATACCTATCGGAGATCGTTTGCAGCTCACAGATCCTTGTGGATAGCTACTTATCTCTCCATCTCTTAATTTCCTCTTTGTATTTGTGGAACAATACAAAAGTGAAAAAATATGAACACTAACTAACACTAAAAACTGAAAAAAGGCTAGTAGACACCCCCCCCCCCCTCCACCGTTACATTTTTTCTCTGAACATCTTAGCCCTTACATGTATGATCTGGCTCACCGACCAAACATAGCAGTTGGACCGAGGATATCCAACACCACACCGAAGGAGGAACCTGCTGCAGACACGGCCGCCTTAGGATGCCGTGGGAAGGACATGGAGCTCGTCAGTAGTCGCCCAAGCTGCCCGCAGTTGATCCCTGCACTGATGAACTCGGTGCAGGTATCAGCCGACTCAAGATGCAAGAAAGGGAAAGGGCGTCTCCAACCCGGACGCCCATAGATCCAAACGAAGACTACGAGGACCTGGACGAGATCTGCAAGGACAAGAACGAATACGCCGTAGAGTTAAACTTAGACAGGACTAC